ACTTAGTCCGTCCTACAAGTCAATGTATCAAAGCAAGGTGAGGATATCTTGCTCAATCAAACCTACAGTAGGCAATCCTGCTGGTCGATCGCACTGCTCAGGGGCAGACGGGCATTTTCTAGAACTAAGGGCCCCACTTCTGCTAAGCTGGTACTTTTACTCGTTGAGCCTCTTGCATGCCTATGTTGAATAAGACCGGTACAAAGTTAAAACCAAACTTATGAGTTGTGTACAGCATTTGTGAGGATTGATGAAAGAATGCCTGAACGAAATGCATTAACAACTGAAGTGTGAGAGCAAAGGTAAAAACCTTGAAAATTGAAATCCAGTAACACCAGCCCTCTCCCCTTCCTCATCACTGTACATCCCTCCCTCCACCCCATCTTCACTCACGCAGCAGCCTCTCATCTCATTGCAAATAGTGAGGGAAGGGGGTCTTTTCATGCACGATGTGAATTCTATAAAGCAGTTCTTCCTATCCGAAATGTCTGCACAACTTTGGTGTTTCAGGCAGTCAAATGTCACAAAAGGTGCTCTTTGACTAGACCTGAGTGTGGAAATTAGCATGATTTACAAGACTTAAGTAGCCACCAATTTCCTAAAAAAAAAGACTGGATTGGCAAAAGAGTATTCTTTCATTCTTGCAGGAGGTTCATAGTCATACTCACCACAAACTCTGTCGGATGTGGGGGTTCCTGCTTTTATTTCTACTGAGTCCCCTGTACACCTTAATGTAGATAGGAAAAATATGTGTGAGTAATCAGTGTCATTACAAACAGCCCTATAGTTCTTCATAGAAAATGCATAAACACTGTCTTTAATAGTAAGTACACCTGAGAGGTATGCAACACAGAGATCTGCCTTTTGATATTTCTGGACATGTAAGTTAGTTCTACAGTATATGAAAGTAATTGATTTAAGACAGCAATACAGTTTTGCTATTTAAATTAAAAAGAAATATGTTATGATTATTTACTTAGATTCTGTTTAAAATGGCAATGTGTGCCATTTCTGAGCTGTGGATTAAATCCAAGAGAAAAGAAGGTCGTGTTAAGCATCCTTGCATTATAGAAAATAACACACATATAGTACTACTGTATTTATACAGTTATATTATACTATAATACTATATAATAATACAGTACATAGCAACACATGATACTAAAAATGAAGAATGTCCCTTTAACCCTAAGTATGTTATTTTATACGCCATTTATTCTGAAAACAATCAGCATACCAAGGAACTGTATTTATAATTAGATAATTTTGCTGAGTTCATATTTTACATATTTCACTCAGTATAAAAATGGGATAGCAGAAGTCATGATTAAGTTACAAAGGAAGGAAGAAAGACTGCTCAGAACTTCTGCTTTTTTGTTTTCTCCATTACTCTCCAGAGTAAGAAAATTCTCAGTTTCTTACTCTGTCCATTTGAGACATTTCTCCACTGCAGAAGTGATGTTAGAGAAGCTTTCATTGAGGCAGGACTCACACTCAGTGTCTCTGTCCTTTGTACCTGTAGAGACAGATCAAAAATCATTCTTTTTCCTGTATTCAGGCCTGCAGAAACTGGTTACCACTGTTCAAGTTAGTCAGCAGTGCCGTAGTGGTTAGGACCCTAGACTGAGAACTGGAAGTTTGTGGGTCACTGCTTTTGTGTCCTTGACCCCCTCACTCTGATTGCTTGACAAATACACCCTGCTGTGCAAAGTGGTAGAAATGTAACTCTCTTCCAATAAAAGCAGCAGACAAATAATCAATTAGTAATAATCGTAACACAAGCAGAGAAAGAAACAAATCTGGCAGACTGAGTTTAGCCCCAGGCACAAATCCACAGTAGAACATGCAATGATATAGTATTTCTCCGTAATCTTCACATATGTTTTTTTTTTCTTTATCTACAGCTTTGTTTTCCTGTGCAGTATTGCTAAGGTTGATACTAATTTATGAAAGAAAACAAATATCAAAATGATTGATATTGCATTGATCCTTTTTGAGTTCTGCAAAAGCTGAGAAGTGAAACACATGCAAGGAAATGTAGTACATTTATCTTAACATATATAGAAATAAACACAATGACATAATGTTAGACTCACTGAAGATTATTTGAAACACTGTGACAGAGTGCCCTTGGGTTAATAGAATAAACAGAAATCTGTAGTCTACTATGTCAAACCGGAGATTAAGGTTTACCTGGTCTTTGAACTCCTTCTCCCACTTCGCATTCTGTGTGCTTAGCACAGGTCACACAGTCCTCACTGCTGCAATGATAGCCCTCCTTGCACACACATTTTCCAACCTCCGTCTTGCTTCCAGGATCCTCAATGATGAAGTTCAGATCTGCACATGCAAGCCGTGTATGGATGTTAATAACAAACCAACAGAAAGCATCATCTGGAGACCAAACACGAGAATTCTATTAACTCGTCTTATTCGACTTATAGCGTGAAATGAAAACCTACTTCCATCACAGTTAGGCTGAATTTTGCATTTTGTGTCACTGTTGTAGTTGGGCATATATTCACCATCCCCACATGGATCGCACTTCGGTTTATCACACGGTTGGAATTCATCTTTCATCTTCGTTCCTGACATACAGAAATGCACATAGGTCATTTGAACAGAATACATTTGATATGAAGAGAACTAGGTCAGTTACAGTATTTTCAGGTATCGTATTTCTACAGAGCAAGAATCATTATTAACATTAATCTTTTTCTCTAATAGTGTACAGTAACATAATGGACAAAAGCGTCTCATCACAGGAAAAACTACTGGTGTGTATATTCATCTTAGCTGTACTGGATATTTTATTAATTTAGATACATATGTTTTTGAAGGCTATACGCAATTAAAAATAAAAAAAGTCTGAAATGGTTTGAAATGACCGACTGAGAAGGATGCTTCCCATGTAACAGATTTTATTAATGGAAGACAATTAAGCCAACTAAAAACATTTTGAAAAACAGAATACTGTTGACAAGACCTACAGTACACAGGATATATTACTTACTTAAAGCATCTTGTAAAATATATTATAAAGAAATATTAATATTATAAAGCACTAGAATTGTCCATGTTCAAGGTACTGTATCTAGGAGTCAAGCAAAGTTGAAAAGAGGGAACTGGGAATTAATTTCCTAAATTTAGTGTCTCATGCAAAGCCATTGCATGAATGCATGAGTACAAAAAATGCAAGCTAGAGAACAAGTCTTTAAAAGACTGGCAGCCGAAACTGTAACATCTGGTAATGACAACCCTGCCAACCCTACACACAAGGAAGAAAATATTGTTACATTTTTTAAATGTAAGTATAAAATGTCCAAATGAAAAATACTTAATTATTATGTAAATATAAATAATGTGATTTAAATCTCATTGCAGTACTAAATATGTATAAAGTGATGCTTAAAAACCGAAAATATTCTTAGACGTTTGTAATCTACTAGTGTTTGTAGATAATGTCTCTTCCAGTAAATGGAAGTTCTTAACTTGCACTAAGAGTATCACACACTCTTATTGGCAAAGTCAAACTGACTTTCATTGTGAACTGTACTTAAGATTGTAGTGATAGTATAACTGATTATTATTAACCATATTTGTGAACGAGCCATTTTCTTCCAGTTCTGTTCTTTGTTTGTCTTTCAATTCACGTCCACAGCTCCCTTCCCCAGCACTATTTGTTATGTGCACTGTATCTCAAAGCATATTAACACTTTCAAAAATGCATTTTTAGATGCAAATTCACTATTGTAAAGAATAAAGTACAGTATACTGTACATGCAAGATGATGCAGACACTTTTATAGTTATTTGTACTCTTAGTTATCGCCACATTGTTGACCATCACTATCTACCTGGTTAAGCAAGAAAATAACCTAAAACTACTCAATTCTTGATTGCTTTTATACTGTTTGAGTTCAGTTGTGCTGCCACCATGCACCTTACAAAATGATGTGTTAAACTTTGTTGCAAGTAATAAATTGTGTTGCAAATAACATGCTGCATGCACCACGTATAAAAGCTTTGGATGTACAACTAAACCTCACCTGGCTCACATTTTTTACAGCATTCTCCATTCTTCATATAGTTCGTTGTCTCATCGCAGGTCAAAACGGTGGCAATCAAGGACACCTAAAAACAAGCAATGAAAATTAACCAGAAGCAATCCCTCATAGTAATCCGAAACGTATTTTTTCTGATTTTATGTCTAATGCATGTGTTTTATGTGTTTCTCAGACTTGCCAGGTATGATTGGCTGTATCTAACTGTTCCATTCTCCGTGGCTGTGCAATACACTACTGTTCTGTCTGTTGGAAAGAAGTCACGTGTTCTTAGTCCTGCCTGGCATCCTATGCTTCAAATTGAACATCAACATAAGGATCACTGGAGTACAATGAAGTATTACCATATAAGATGCTTTATTTAATATAAAGCAATGCTAGTAGTTTATGTCATAGGAACAAAACTGTTTTTTCAGAACATCATTAAGAGGTATGATGTCTAACTGCACAAAGACCATTGATTAAGAAGGCTTTCTGACCCATCAGACTTATCTGCTTCTATTTCAAATACTGAAATATAAAGTTCTATATATTCCTATAACCAGAACTGGTTGTACAGAAAGCAACCCAAGTATGAAAATCCAATGAAATTCATCACAAAGTTCTAACCTGCACCCATGTGAGCATGGGCAGAACTTAAACTCTGCAAAGACAGACTTCCCAGCCATCAACTGAGGCCCTATGAGGCAGTAGTGCTAATCAGTAACTCCAGTATAATACACTCCAATATTACAAACAAGTGGCTTATTAATGAGCTGTACTAAGGCTGCTTGCAAACCTTTGAATCGCTAGGTTTTTCATACTGAACAGACTCGAGTTATTGTACATAATTTTGTGACTTTCCTAAACTCCTGTAAAGGATGATATGAATTCTGTACAACAAACAAAAGAGGTGAATGAAAGTGTAATATTAAGCTTTCTATTAAACAGCTTTTTCACAGTTCTTAATGCTTTATAGGTAAATGTCTCTCTTTATATTTATAGTTTATAGTTTATGTTAAGATAACGATTAATAGGCTCGCAGTGTGAACCCTAAACCTTTTCAGAAGATGTAGCACTAGATAGACAGATTTTGTCTGACTAGATAAATGAAAAAAGAACAAATCCTTCCAATCTCCAGGCCTAACATATCCAAGGCAGGCCTGGAAGTTTTTTAATGATCTCCTGAAAAACTTCCAAGTTTTCCCCTTTTAAAATAGCACATACAACTGGGGTGAAACAAAGATCTAAGAAATTAGTAAATGCATTCTGTAAAAGTGATAAAGGGATACTGCTCCACCCTAATAGCTGATTTTAAAGACCAAGATGTATAATAGATGTATATGTATATTTTTTTCTCCATCATGAAAAGGTGACTAGGTTGGGGTTCAGATGAACTATTTAAAAGACATTCTTAATCTTGCCTCTAAATTGAAACAAATCAATACAGTACATACTGTAAGTTTAGCATTAATTGAAAGATAAATTGGAACTGGTGCTAATTGTTAGACAACATTAAAATACATTGTTGTTGCACTATATACTGTAAACAAACTAGATCTAACCAGAATATTTTTTTATAGGTTCTACTGTATTCAGCAGCTACAGTACATGCTAGGAGTTTGATTTTGCATTCTTTTGCTAGTATATTCCAGCAGACTGTTATCAGGACAGAAGTAGTGATGCTGTTCAGACCAGTGCAAGCTCGGTAAACATAAAGATGCTTTCACCTATTCCAGCAGAGGGGGTTTCACGCAAAGCTCTTGGAGGCATGGTGTCATTGTGGTCTGTGTTGCTGTTTCACAATTCATGAGCTCCTTGTTCACTTCTAGACTGCAGCACGTTCTGTGTGGAGTTTGAACTGCTCTCCATGTCTGCATGGGTTTGAACCAGTTTAGTCCCAGCTTCTAAAGATATGCATGCCACTCCCTACAATAGACTGGCACTCCTAGTCCTTCCTTGTGCCTGTGCTTCTAGGATAGGCTCCAGGTTGCTGCATCACTTACAAGAAGCGAGTTGCCATCTGATTAAGGATGGATGAATGCAAGGCTCTTTCTGTCACAACATGCCTATAGTAACTGATATGAGGCCTGTTGGGAAACCTAGGTCCTGGAAAACCCCAATGCAGCAGGTTTCATGCATGGTCATGAAATCATGATGTAACCTTAGGTCCTATTTGCGTTTTCTTCCGTTGAGGAGTTTGTAGTGTTTTTGAGTTGTGTGGAGTCCTTTGGTTCATTTGGTGGCTAGGTTTACGGTACTGTGACTCTGTGCCTTCTGATTAGTTATGGGGGGAGAACGTGACAAGGAAATGTGGAAATCAAAAAGTGAGAAAGGGAGAACAAGTGTGAAGAATATTCGTCTCCATCCTGTTCTATTCTGTACCGGCAGAATGTTAACAACCATCACATGGACCCTACAGTTACAATTATTTCTAAAGTCTCTGAGCAGCTTCATTGTGAATAATTAAGCAGGAAGGGATTTGCTAAATTAATTTACTAATCACCTGTTGAAAAACAATTCTAAGTACCCCTCAGACCTCTGACAAACAAAATTCTCTTAATTGAACTGTATACTGTACGTGTTTATATGGCCAAGAATTAGTGGGCTTTCCCAAGCTTTAGAAACAGGTACTGTACAAAATCAACTGGATCGAAGCTCTTTGGGACCAAGGTTGGAGAGCATTGCTGTATAGTGACATTTTCTAAGTGGTATTTAAAATTATATCCAAATATTTAAACCAGATGTGGTGATGTGATCAACTTTGTACTGTGTTAATACACAATACACAATATTTTGTTACCTGTATTGTGCATTAAAAATATATGCTGTAACTTATTTCCATTTCCAACACAATGAGCACACAAAAAATTAAATAATGTGCACAATGTTTTCTACATCTAAGGATGTTGGTTTTTTTTCAAGAAGTAAAATGTTTCCAGACCCAGATATACAGTATGCCTTTTTGTTTTGTCTATTTTGCTACTAGTGACAAAGCAGTTCTTAAACGTTAAGGTTCCTCCCAAAGTAACCTCAAACTAAACACACAAAGAAACAAGCTAGCCTCACTGTAAAGCACCTGCATGGCATACGTGTTCATATGTGGTTAGATCAAAACGATAACACCTCATCTGTTGTGTGAAAACCCGAAACTTTTACTAGGACCGAAACGGCACAGAACACCTACTTTTTTCTAAATAAAAAATTCTAAATAAATAGAAGAAGATTATATCTATTCTTTATAAATACCGTACCTGTATACAGGGATATTTTAAGGGAAAAAATTGCAATAACGGTGTGTGTATAATTGTGTACACAATAATGACTTTGTGATTGTCTGTCTTCTGAAAGTGAGTGCACATTCATATCGCAATCGTTGTATTAGTCAGACAGACCTTAAAAACAAATCAGCAGCCAGAAGTGTATATTTCTGTTCAGCTAGATAGCAGAGAGCGTGTGAAATTAACGATGGGGGTCGGCATTTTCAACACCGCCGCAAAACTGCTGGTTGTAAGAGCCGTGAACCCTGGTCAACATAAATTGTAAAACATTGTCTGATGCACACGATGTAAAATGATTAACATAAACAGAGGTCATTACACTGAACTACCAAGTGCAGAAATACTGACATCTGTTTGTATAATAGAAACTGTTGCATTCACGGATAGCACAAACAAAATTATATGATACCAGTAAACTTTATAAATAGTAACTGTATATAAAGTTATCCGTCGTCCTGTTTATTAAAACGTTTTCATTTGATCGATATGATTTTAAAGACATCTGACATTTTGAAATCAACACCACACCCTATGAAATCCGTTAAATAATATTTTTGCAAGACTTTCTTTTGGAATAAATAAATAAGAAACATTGAATAATAAGAAACGGAAAGATCAGCTGCACATGCAAGGAGGCAAAGTGCTTTTTTTTTATACGGGTCACTATTCATTTTACATTCAGAAGTTTAATGTTTAAAAAATGAAGAGATTTATCTCTCAAGGCCAGAGACATAAAGATATAGCGGTTAAACTTGCTTCCTTTACGGAAAGTCCCTCTCTAAAACTATGCTGTTCAGCCAAAAGTCCCCAACATACCCCCCGAATTTCAATTGAAAAGGACTGTTTTTCATTGAAATGCTTTAAAACTGTTAGAAAAACATCACTGCAATGCCCAAGATATACCAAAAGAATTGACATGATGATCATTTACGGCATGTACGACTACTAAATATCACAGATTCTTCGGTTTTATTAGAACTGTCTCGGATTTTAACGTTATTTCACGTACCGGTAAAAAAAAAAAACAGTTGAAGCATAAAGTCTGTAGTTTTTTTTTCATTACTTCAATTATATTTATAAATTATATCGATAATTCGTATACGTACTGTATGCAAGCAAAGGGGAAAGTACTGGTAAAAGTATAGGTCAATGCAATAAAAGTAGCATCTAGGCATATCCAGGAGGATTTGTGTTCTTAAAACAATGCGTCGTATTTCTGTTAGAAAGAAAGCGAAAATACAGCAAATTGTATTTGTTATTACGCCATAACGACACATCATCTGCATGGGTGGGAGAAGGTGGGAGTTGGGTCCTCTCTTGTGAGGTGACATCCCTAACACAACAACCAAGTCTTAATAGCGTCTACTTTTCTCCAGATTCTCAATCTAGCAGTAGTAGCGACTACATGCTGTACATTAACATAAAATAAAGCTGTAAATTGGACTGCGTGCAGAGAAATCGAAAGTAAAAACATTAACGTCATACTGCAGTGTCTCGCCTGACTGCCCCTGCCACCTAGACACTGGTGAGTGATTTTTAAAAAGAAAATAACAGATAGAAAGCTAACGCGCTCCTGTACCAAGCATAACAGTAATAACACACTACAGTATATCGCATTTGCACTAGGAACCCTGACATATTTCAAAGTACATGAAAGTATGTCGTTTTTACAACATTTGAAATGGTCAAAACTCTAGCTCTACGAACTACTGTACATACTGTACATCGCTACGCCCAGGTACTTACCACCACGATGATATGGAAAATCTTCATTTCTGCACTGTTGTCTGGGTTGTTCTCAGTCGGGTACTGCACCGTACTGACTGCTCGATATGTGTCGACTGCGGTTGTCGAAGCTAGCTACATCAAAACCCCGACCTGCTCCAGCCAATCACTGTGCACGGGGGATTTCCAGAGTACTCTGCAAATTCTCACCAGACGTTGAGTATTTCCACTATAACAATTTTAATACAAATGCATAACATAACTTTTTCATAAAATACACATAGAGAGGCTAGGCCATTTGTTTCTATCAGTACTTGTAAACCTACACTATGTGCTGTACAGATATTATCTGAACAGTAAGTGAATAGATATCCAAATTGCAAATTGTCTGTTCTGGAAACAATAACATGATAGGATTAGGGGTTAATTCCTGTTCTTGCCACTTTTTGCCATTTGGTCATATTACATACTGTAAATGTATTTTGGGGACAGGGATATTAAGACTGTGAAGCTGCAGTCTGTATCTGGAATGGAGTCTGACATTGCAGACACTATGATACTGTAACCTGTTCTAATGCTTCTGTTTCTTTCCATCATTAATCTGCATGGTAATGTGAGTTGGGACAGATATCCTACTTGGAGCAATTAACTGTGTCAAATGCAAGTGACAGTAATTTTCCTTCCCACACTGCCAGCAGTATTGTCCATTGATCCAAATACCATCTCCAACAATTTTGGATTGACTGATATATTTTGTGCGAATGGCCATGCTTGACCGTGTGTGACCAGAAATGACAGGAAAAAGTTGAATCAATGGAAAAAAAAATAGAAACCCAGGAGATTCTGGTAACATCCCATGTGCTCGTTGCAGTGAATAATAATAAAAAAAAATCATTGAGTGCAGGTGAATATCTGCCTTCATGTTTTGTTATTGCCTACTATTGTCATTTTATTGAGAAAACATGTGACGTCTCGCTTAGGCTCATGAATGTGTTCTGCCAGATTGAC